CAGGTTTGCCTGGGTCATCAAAGGCAAGTGGCTACTGAGTCCCCTCCAAGCCACCCTCACCAACCACCCTGCCCACAATAAGGGCACTTGGTTAGGCAGTGAAGCACTTGGGATGGGATGGGATTGGGATGAGATGTTGTCAGGCAGAAAAAGCCACACTGGACTAAACTAGAAGGGACTTCAAAGCAGGGGTGGCAGGGGTGCTTTTGGTGGGTTCAGGAGACTTTATAGAAGGGGAAGAAATGGGGGACCACCAGTGGGGCATCTAAGGAGAGTCTGGGTCTGATTCGCAAGCATTGCCTCTGCCTCTCACAGCAGTGATGGGACTGAAATGAGGTCAGAGGGATGGAGATTTGTGATTATCCATGTACAGACAGGTCATTCTGCAGGGATATGGGACAAACCCTACCACGATTCGAAAAGAGTCATCCCAGACCCCAGAGAGCACCCTGAGGGCAGGAGGGGCAGGTGGCACACACACCACCAGCAGCACCACAGAGGTGGACATCAGGCCAGTTCCATGCAGACATTTTTCTCCTCAAAAAGGTAAGATGCAGCTGCAGTCTGTGTGCAAAGAGGGGATGAGGACCCAGTGGGAACCCATGTTGGATGACAGTGAGTGGGAGCGTGGGAGGGGACCTGGCTGCGGCTTGGGGATGAGGCAAGCCAAGGCTTTTGGAGGACAAGAAAGGTGGAAGCAGACTTCCTGGAAGATTATCTCATGTTTGCACAGCTTCTCTGGAAGAAGAAAGGAGAAGGAAACAAATCAAATGTGCTGATAGCACTGGTTTGGAAGATGTGAGCTGCAGGACATCAGGTCTGGTGGCCTGGCATGGCAGCAGAGTGGCTGTGCAGAGAGCTGGCCATGGCACCCTGGTTTCTAATGCCATTTTCCCCTGGGAAGGGCTCTGCAAGAAGAAAACACCCAACACCCTGAGCCCCCTTCCACACAGTCTGCATCTGCCCTGGCCCTCCCACCTTCACTTTTACACCTCTCATCATGTCCCTGATGTACAGACCCTCAAGCCCTACAAACCACCAGGGTCACGCCACTTCCTACACAACGGTTAAAAGTAAGGAGCAGTAATTAATGGAAAATTGAACTAACAGCATTCTTCAACCAGCATCTCCTCACACAGAAAACTTCATGTGCCAAGATCTGAGCTCTCTTTTCAGGTTTGTTTGAGGCACAAGGTCAGTCTTCCTTTCCCTTAGTTCATTAATCCTGTTCCCAGTCCTATCAGAAGTGTTAATAGATGCCTCCTCCTTTCCCTTTACTAATTAATCATGTCCCCAGTCCCACCAGAAACATTAGTAGATATTTCCACTATCTGCTTTTCATAAAACAAATCAGTACATGTGAGGTATTTGAGGTCCTGGAGAGAGGATGAGGGTCTCTGGAGGACTGGGCTTTCCTCTGTGTTCCTGCCCCAGCAGTGGACCTTTGGGCTTGGCTTTCATCTTCTCCGGTCCCTTCAAAACTGCTGTGCCTGGAGTGCTCCCAGCAACCTCCCAGGCCATCCGCAGTGGTGGCACAGCCTCTTCTCCAGGTGTGGAGCTTCAGGGCCTCCACTAGATCTGCCTGGTTAGGCAAATGGAAAGGCTAGCAGGCATCTGTGTAGAGAGGAGAGGACAGCTGGGCTGTGCACATGATTTTATTGGTGTGCAGACCAACTGCAACCTCACTAGAACTTATAACTACCTCAAGTTCTCTGGCTGAGGAAAAAACCCTACTTGAGAAATTAAAATGGGTAAGGATGGACAAAAAAAAAAAAAAAAAAACAACGTAAAGATGGGAAATCTTTTCTGACTCATACAGTATTTGCGGTTTTACGTGGACAATCATAAAAATTAATATTTAACAGGGTACGTGAATAGGCTTCATGTGACAAATGCCAAAGAAAATGAAACAGTACAAGGCACTTGCACACCAGGCATGGTGGTCCCTGGCACTGACACCATCTAAACCCTCTCTGGAGGAAGCCTTCATCACCATCAACCATGGCTGAAAGGACAAAGGTGAGACTGTAACAATAACCAACTTTCCTAAATTTACCAGAGCCTTCTTGCTAGGAATAATAGAATTGGAAAAGGCAAGTCAATGTGCTGGCAGAAACAGCATTACAAATGATATGGTAGATAGCAAAAAAACCCTACAAACAGAGGTCAAATCTAGATCTTAGATGGTGATGCAAAGCCATTTAGCATTAGACAATCTACTAGCAGTCAAAGGAGGGGTTTCTCCTCTCATTAACACCAGATATAATGGCAAAAGACACCTAAGGATTTTTCATAAAATGAAAAAAAAAAAAAACAAACAAGGCACCCTTTTGCTGAATTGGGAGAGTCCTGCACAGCTGTCAGGAGGGGGCACCAAGACCAAGGAAACAGGGTGTCTCAGTGGTCTGAAGGCTCCTGAAGAGTAAAAGCAACAGTCTAAAACACTTTCTCAAACTGAGGCACACCTTCTGGTGCACCCCAGACATCTCCAGACATCTCTCCCTGGAAGTGCTGCAGCTGAAATCTTGTTCCTCAGGAGCTGGGAGCACTGGTAGTGGAGCTGCCAGGGTGGCTGTGCTTGGGGACTGGCTAGGCATCGTCAAGCTGGTGGCAAGTTGTGGCTTTTGCACCACTTGGTAGGGGTTTTTTGTGGTTTTTCTCTTTTTGGTTAGTTGTTTTTCTGTTTTTTTTCCAGTGTTAAGAAGGAAAGAAGGAGGGAGCTGGAGGATGCCTGGATTTACAGCATTTGTTTTCCCAAGCCACCGCTACGTGTGATGGAGCCCTGCTCTGCTGGCAATGGATACTCACCTGCCCACTGGTGGAGTGACTGAATCCCTTATTTTGCTTTGCTTGTGTGTGCAGCTTTTGCTTTACCTGTTAAACTGTCTTTATCTCAACCCACTAGTTTTTTCACTTTTGTCCTTCCGATCCTCCTCCCCAGCCCCAAACTCTGGCAGGATTCACTGGTGAGCTCCTCATGGCTCCTGGCACAGAGGGGATTTCCACAGCTCTACATGGGTCAGTCCTGTGTCTTGCTTGAGTATCCCCTGTCTGTTCTACCTGCCCAGGGAGCTCTGCAGGGAAATCCTTCCTCTGCAGCACAGCTCATACTCTGGAGGCCTGGGGAAGATGTGGCAGCTAGGCTGTGCAACAGCCTAGGCATGGGGCAACAGGAGGGACAACCTGAAAGCCCAAAACCAATGGCAGGTTTGCATTTAAAAGACCTCAGAGGTATCATCAGCCCCTTTAAGTGGACCCAAATGCCCAGAGCACCCATGCAGCACTGTCCTGTCCCCCTCCCTGCCTGCCCCAGTGATACCCATGAGGTTTTGAGAGGCCATGGGAAGAGCTTCCCTCCACCCCCAGCCCCTTGACCATCTCCATGCCTTGACCAGCTGGCAGCAGTGCAGTTGCTGGAGCTGGGAGAAGAAAGGACACCACTCTCCAATATCATATGAAGTAAATCTTTATTTTGTGCCTGTGCTCGGCAAGCTGATGCTGGTGAGGCCACAGAACCCCAGGAGCTGGTGCCTGGCTGGTCGCTGTGTCGCAGGGCCTTGGCATGTCAGTGCCATCCCTTAGCAGGGATCTCCACAGCCATTTCCAGGAGGATGACTTTATTAGTCATCATCTTCCTCCCCCCAAGGATGTTGGGTAGCCTGTACCAGGCCACACGCTCTACATCATGGGTCAGTACGTCCTTTCATTTCATGAAGCTCTGCAACTCTTTTCTGCACCCAGGGAAGCTCTGGGTTTGCACAGACTTTGGTCCCATTTGTGGTCTCAAACCTGCCAAGATGAAACGTGAAGTTTCATGAGAAATGACAACTGTAATCTTACTTGTGTCCATGCCATCCTCCCTTCCGTGTGCTCCTTCTCCTTTCCCTTTGGCCCTGCATGCTGCCCCTGCATACTTGGTCCTCCAAGCAGCTCATTCTGCATCCCAATGCCCCTAGAGCAGAGACTTCAGGAGCAGCAGTGGACTCATGTCCTTAACTAAGACCTGTAGAAGTGATCAGACAGTCACATCCTCCCCTTTTCATGCTGGACAACTGCCACTTGTGGAGGCCATGCAGACACCCAGTCCTGTCCCCAGATGGGATGGATGAACTGGAACAGTTCACTGGAACAATTCACCCAGAGAGGTGGTGGAGGCCACATCCCTGGAGACATTCAAGGTCAGGTTTGATAGGGCCTTTAAAGGTCCCTTCCAATGCAATGCATTCTATGATTCTATGATGAACTGAACCCTGAATTGCCCAGGAGACAGCACAATGGTGTGGAAATGATCAGGACTTACACAATTGCTGGGGAATAACACTCCTTGGGAGTTACGTAGAAACCCTTCAGGTTAGTCAGCCTGAGACGTGTCTTAGCATAACGGTAGCAGCACTCCCTTGGTGCATAAGGCGCTGGAAAAGACAAACAGGGAGACAGTGAACACTGGCTTCGGAAATCTACTTTTAAGACCTTACCCTGTGACAAGGCTGGTGCACAGAACATCTGCTAAGTCCTGCAGCCCTGAGGAGC